GGTGACGCAGTCAGCTTGGAAATCTCCCTCGCATGAAACCCTGCTTCCTTGCCAAACAAAAAATTCTGCTGTGCATGTGGAAGTACCAGACAAAATCTCAACACCTACTGAAAGAGTGCAGCCACAGACCAATCAACTTCAAATAAAGCCTGCAGAATCTTGCAGACAAGTCATGCTCTACTCCGATGGGAAGAAAGCTGTTGGTTGCAACGTTGTCAAAATGCTGTTCTCTCATATGTACAAACCCCAAACAAACTCCAAAAACAGCTTCATGCAGTACCTTCCATAGTAAAAAAACCCTATTACGGCGACCTCTTTCAAGTGCTGTGTTTTCATATGTACAAACCCCAAACAAACTTTCGAAACGGCTTCATGCAGCAGATTCCATTGGGGAAAAAGGTTTAGGCGCGACATGCCTGACATGCTGTGTTTTCATATGTACAAACCCCAATCAAACTGCAGTTCTATTGGGGAAAACATTTCGATACTCTCCGCGCGGAAAAAAGAAATATTCTTCAATTTCTTTTAATTGCGCGCGTGGGCAGCCGGATGGCCCGGCCAATAGAACTGAGGTTTGAACGTGGTTTGCTTGCAGTTTGTACATATGCCAGGACAGAGGAAACACACTTCGCGTACTGTGCCACTAGTCTGCTTGCGAAAAGGTCTCTAGTGGAGTTGCTTGAAGTTTGTACATATGCCCAACCACAGGAAATTTGATCCGCCTACTTGCTTGGGCAGATACCGCGGGCGTTTGCTTGAGGTTTGTACATATGCCAGGACACGCAAAGATTAAAATTCTTCACTTCAACTGCTAGTTTGCAAATGCGGCAGACAAGAATCATTTTGCAGACACAACTGGCCACGGAGGTTTCACACCGTGCCGCCGCGCTGCTGGCGGAAGCACGATTCCAATAAGTTCTCTCCGCTACAGAGACTAGCAAGCGTCGCAAAGGCTCCAGGCTCTAGACACAGCTAGTCATTTCAAGCGTCCCTGCCACCTGCACACACGCCTACAAAAAAATCCTCTCAGCCTTGACGGCGCCGCAGCAACCATAGCAAGTCCTCATCTCCAAGATCTCCCGCTTTCTTGAGCAGGCGCCTTCGTTTCTGTTCCTGGCAAAATGAAAAACCGCAAAAAAGTGTTAATGTGTGTTTCCAAAGACATGAAGCCAGGGGCCCACGCCTGCGCTTTCAACGTCTTGGAGCAAACCTTGAGCTGGCGCTTGAGCAATGCCCTTTGCACCTTCAACGCGTTCAAATCCATCATGGGCACAGCTGCCCGACGACCGTGGATAGGGGCAGCGCCAGGCACAGCAGCAGCAGCAGCTGGAGCAGGACCAAAGCCACCATCAGCAACACCATGCGCATCGCCAGCTGCAACATCCACTGCACCTGCAGCATCTCCATCCGCAGCAACGCCTTCAGGCGAAGGCGCCGCAGCAGCACCACTGTCAACGGCATCCACGTCTGCTGCCTCATTGCCCGAAGCAGCTTCGTCCTCTTCACTCCTGGACACCTCTTCTTCTGCTTGCATGTCTCTGGCATCCGCTGGCGCAGAAGACGCCATGAAGATTTGCTAAACTAGAAACTGAAGACAGGCTTGAAAGGTACACGGTACACACAACTTAAGCCCACAATCATCCAATCGCACGAGTCTGAAACATGCATCTTGAAAATCAAAGGATTTGGTAGACAGGCTCATGTCCCCCTGCAGTTGCACGACACAGCAACTTAGCTGCACTTCTTCTGGAAGTACCGTCTCTGTCATGGGGCACTGAGCGCTTCTTTTTCCTGCTCAGCAGCGGCTAAGTCTAAGTCAGAAGAGGTGGATCTAGACGGGCAGGATGCCAAAACAATGAGACATATGGCACAAAGCGACCTCGCGGGAAGATAGCTTCAATATCTTCCCTGCTTGGAGGCATGAATGGTATTTGCGCCACTCGGGGCACACCTGCATGCTCCAGCTCCACAGTCAAAGCTCCTGCGGTCTGCACAACTCCGGTCTTCTCGAAAGCAGGCAACCACTTCCTAGCACACCAAAAGGTAGTCGCAGCTTTGCACAGGCACTGCAGCCATGACAGCGCGTCAAGAACCCCATGTTCATCTTCCTTCTCTGCAAAAAGTTTGGCCAAGCACGCCTTGTATGGAGCCAGCGCATACACATCCAGCGGCTGCACCAAAAATGTCAACTTCGCCGGTACAAACACCAACCATATGCCCAGCCGCTCTGCAGCAGCAGCCACCCGAGGATGGATGTGGCACATCGCCACATCAAGCAAGAGGACTGTTTGCATGTCAGGAAACTCCAGCATGGCATTGCGAATTTGCGCCAATATCCATTCCATTTTCTCCACGCTGTTCCAGCCAGACACCCCGCGCCAAAACTCCACTTGAGGTGGCTTCTGTAGAGCGGGATTCTTCAAAGCACTTACAGGCACTACATGGCGGTTGCACAAGAAGAATTGAGGCAGCTTTGGCTGTACTTGGGGGAGATTTGTCATCAATACCACGTGTGTGACAGCTGTGCGCTTCAATTGTTTGGAAATTCGGCGGCGTGGGGCCGTCTGCCCTGGCCACATTGCTCGAGAAGCGAGGAAGCCCACAGGCCTCCCCAAACACCGTGCCACGCTAGTCTCGTCCAAGTTGATATAACAAGGAATCTTCCCCAATGCTGCACACTCCTGTGCCAAGTAATCCACCCAATGCCAGAAGATACGAACCTGTTGTGGGGCAACCTCGCAAAAGAAAAGCGGCTCAAAATTCGACGCCAAAATTGGCTTCAAAATTGGTACCTATTTTTAGCTTCGGGGCTTTCAAACATAAGGCCAGCACACCCAAAAAAACCGAAGCCGAAACGTGCTTCTCACAACGCATGCCCCTGCACAACACCTTCTGAATGACCTCCTCCCTGGTTAGCAGCTCTCCTTCCTGTAGATGTCCCCGCCGCAAGCCCCATTTTCGCCGCATCTGCTGGCACCACTTCCTGGCCATGCGTCCCAATCTTGGGCACCTTCCGGCTCGCGGCGGGTCCATACCAAAGCGGGCTTGAAAGCCAAAGCGCTGAAATTGCGCAACAAATTGGTCCACCAGCATGCACCCAGTTGGGGCCCTGCCAACGGAAAAATTTTGCTTTGCCACCCATTGGGCAGTGTACCTTTCTGCCAAATACTTGCAAGCTGTGGCGCGCACACACCAATGCTGTTTGGTTTCAGGCACGAAAATAGCAATCAAGTCAGCAAGGTCAGCTCGTAGGAACAAATCCCGAATGGGACATGGTGCATCATCAAGGCTGGGCACCTGCAAGGCACGTCGCTTCCGAGCATTCTCAGCAAACTCTATTGCGCAGTCTTGGCTGTAGTTGCTCAGGCAATACACAGCCAGTGTCATGCGCACCATGTGTGCTGTCAAGCCCCACCGAAGCATATCTGCTCGCTCACGGCTCTCTCGCCTTTGTCGCTGTTTGATCTCTCGGCGAACAGCAGCCAACTCCTCACAAACATATGCATCATGACACTGAATCAAAATTTTCTGGGTAGCAGCATGGGTGGCAAAAAGAAGCTTAGAATTGGCACGTTGGCGCTCTGATTCCTACTTTGCAACCATACAATTACTTGATACGAAGCTGTCTAACGGTGCCACTGGGAATCTTCAACCCAGCAAATGGAACTCTGCACATTCTTCCAAGAAAGAAACTGGCTGATGACACACATGCCAAAAAAAATCATCGTACAACAAATTTATTGAACACGCGCTGAAAATTGAAAGTCTTTAGATTCACACAAAAGCGGCGTGGCATCCACTGGAATCTCACGAACAATAATAATGTAGAAAAGTTGTTGGTCAGATGGAAATGCTGCAGGTGGCAACAACTTCGAAATAGTTTCTCTGCTGTTATGCTTGTTGACACTGAGAAGGTACACCCTCCAGTCTCCAAAAACACTACTGGTCTCGATGCCACTTCTGTCCTGCGTCAAAGCTTCGCAGTGCTCCGCCATCTTGGAACTAGCTAATTTGGTGAAACATCACGCAGCTGCAGGACATGCCACGCAGATTCCGAACAGAGGAAAACAAGTGGTGCCCTGTCGAATCTTACCAACAAAGAAGACATCACAAAACAGGCCCTTCAATCTGCAAATCTGCCATGATCCCCAAAATGGACACTCCGAAAATTGTCCGACACCACCCTAAGCTTTCAAGCTCCTTCGACATGACACTAAGCAATGCTTCGATGCAGAAAGCGAAGCAGTGTAGGGGTATGTAAGGGCGCTTAAATTGCACAAAATCAAACGCTCACGCACATCAACGGCTGCTTTTGGGCATTTCCCCAGAATGTCACTCAACCAGGTTAGCGTCACAAAGTTGTTGTCGCTGCTTCTCCGCCTGCAGCAGATTTGCCACAGGATGCTGAAAGAACAAAAATCTCGACAAGAATTTAACAATCCAACTGTCAGCTGATAGAATGCTTCAAAGAACGCTGGCCTGTAGCCGGACCAGTCCATCACCTGCACACGCACGGGGGTCCCCCAAGCCCCCAATCTCAATGTTGCTTGCGCTGCGGCACTGGGGTAGCACAGCTGGTGTTCATGAAGAATCGGCTGCACAACATTGACATTGGGGGTTGCAGGGTTGCAGGGGGTTCTCACACAGAAGTTTCTCACCACCAAGGGGCTCCTACCCAGCAAGCTTCCGCGCGATCCACTTGTTTCTCTTTGAGTCGCAACGTCTATTGCATGCATGGTCCTCATCTTTGGGCGAACCAGCAGCAAGAAACGAAACAAGTTAAACATTGACCTTGCATGCAATAGCAATCACTATTGTACTCTACGTTGCACTGCTGCGAGAAGACGCCGTTGTTCAAAAAGCCCGAGAGAAGCAAATGGGCCGAGTTCTTTCCAATCCTGGACAGTGACCTCATCAACATGGCAGGCACCCTGGGCCAGCAAGGCTGCAGACAACTCTTGCAGATGGTCTGGACGAAGCTTGGCAATCTTATTCATGTCTGCCAAGCCAGGCAACAAAGTTCCGGCAAGCGTTGGTGGTGCAACTTGCAAAGGGCTCTGAAGCACGATAGCTGCATCATGCGCAGCAGCCCCGCTTGTCACCCATTTGCACAAACACACAGGGCAAGGATCAATGTCTCTCAAGTTGGGGACTTGGCTGTTGATGGGAAACACGGTCACCCGACTTTGCATGTGCCTGATGTCCTCCTGCGAAACACAGCCAAGCGGTTGCCACAAACCTTCTGCTTTGGCGGTCAGGACGCAACCTTGCTGCCATTTGAAGTCTATATTGCCATCTGTGAAAGATTGTGAGACCTGCGCTTCAAATGGCTGGCCCGTGAACAACGACAAGAAAGTTGAGACCTGGACCGTGCACTGGGCAAACTCTACTGGACGGTAATCATCCCAGAGGAGAAAGCGCTTGTGGCGCAAGATGTTCCGCAACGCAAACTTCGATCCAAGTACTGGCTTGTGAAAGACTCGGTCGGGGCCAAAGACCTGGTCAAATGGCAAGACAAGAGTCGTCTTTCCCGTGTTGGTTGCGCCAGCTAGCAAAGGGGTTCGGGTTGTTTTCGAAGGTCCAGTCAAGATGATATCTCGCAAGCAAGTTGCCAGATGGTCTTTGCGGAGCGTATCAGAGTTTGCATCGAAGATCCGCGTGGCAGCAGCAGCGTAACCGCAATCCGCCCCAAAGGGGCACTGCTTCGCAGACAAAGCACATACCACCTCCCACCCAGACTGACGGTCTTTGGCAGCTTCAGCGGGGGCGGAGTTCCATTCCCAAGCGTCTTGAAGAAACTCTGACAGCTGCCGCTGCTTGTTACTGACAAACTGCTGCATGCTCTGGCAACCAAAGTTTTGCGCATATTCTAAAACTTCATGCTTTGACCGGAGCTGCTTAGCCAAAATGATCGCGGTGAGGTCTAACTTGGTGAAGCGTGCTCTCTTGCCTGCTGCACTCGCTTCCTTTTCTGCATCTTCACGGTGTCGCTTCCAAACTGCGGCCATCCAAGGCCTTTGAGACAACTCATACAGGTCCAGCGGGGCTCCGTCACTGGACCAAGCATATGGTGTTTCATCTACCTTCGGCTTCTGCAGCGTTGGGATGATGCAATACCTGAGAGCACTCCAGAACTGGGTGTGGCTGCACGAAAAATGGCCTGCCAATCTATGCCGGGTGCGCAAAGTCTTCTTCACTGGCAAAAACTGCCGCTGCGTGTTCAATTTCAAGGCTACATGAAAATGCACTTCCCCACCTTCATGCTCCTCCTGCACAACAACTAGATATTTCACAATGCCAGTGGTTCCACTTGGTCGGCCACCTTTTCCAGCCCTCAAAGGATTGTCAAAAGCATCGCGAAATTTCACGGCGATGTCTTCACGCGACAGCAATGCAATCTCACACAAATCCTGGTTGGATTCTCGCGTCTGTTCCAAGACACGAGAAACTGTGGCTAAGTAGACCCATCCCCGGTGATCTGCCTTCTCCGGGCCCAACTCCTTCACAATCTTTGCTGCAGGGTTGTGACAAGTCTCAGGGTTTAGCAGCCTTTTCACAAGGTCGTTGACTTCATCCTTCCGAAAGTCTAAACTATTTGGTGGCAGACCACAGTGTTCGCACAATGCTTCACGAAACTCTTTCAGACTCATGCCACTAACATCCACGGTGGGCAGCAATGCCTTTGCGGCTGTCTCAACCTCCTCCATGGCGATGGCGGGCATGGCCGCTGGGTCAGCCATGGCAGTCACACTAACATTTTCTGGATCACCCTGCAACATAGTTTGATTGAAACAGCTTCTCCAAACACATGATTTTGGACACAGGCGCTTACGAATCACAAGACTTTCAATTCCCCTGGCTGCAAAAATCTGATTCACCTGAAGCTTATCCGCGGTCCGCGCCTCTGCTGAAGTAAAAAGTGGCAAGGCCAGACCTCACACAGGCAGTCGGTTAGGCGCTCACCCACGCACTTAAATCACAAAGGCTGCCTTCAGCTACTCGACAACAGCGTGCACCAACCGATCTGATTGTAAAGGTTAAGTGGTTTCACAGGCTGGTAAACACAAACAGCAAAAAAAAGACAGCACTGCACATGCAAATCTAAAACAATGGACATACTTCCTGCATTACAGAGAAACAATTCATCCATGACTTGCCGTCGGTCACACTCAAACACTGCAATGAAATCCGAGGCCATGAGTGCTGGGCAAGGTCCGGGTTGCAACCGTGTGTTGTTTACACATGTCCGTCATGGCACAGCACCTCAAATCCAAAACAACTGGCACATGTTTCATGAGAGAATCAGATCGCAGGCGTGGCATCTGTGACAAGAAAATGTACTTCAACAAAACCAATAAATGTGAAGCGAATATGTCTCAACGTGAAAGTCACGAAGGCGCGCTCACAGCGCAATGAGGTGAAGGAATATGCGGCTGACTGCGAGTTAGGGGCCAGACGCGGGTATGCATGGTCCCTTTTAACAAACCGTCTCTGCCAATGCTTTGAAGGGCCGAAAGGTGACGCAGTCAGCTTGGAAATCTCCCTCGCATGAAACCCTGCTTCCTTGCCAAACAAAAAATTCTGCTGTGCATGTGGAAGTACCAGACAAAATCTCAACACCTACTGAAAGAGTGCAGCCACAGACCAATCAACTTCAAATAAAGCCTGCAGAATCTTGCAGACAAGTCATGCTCTACTCCGATGGGAAGAAAGCTGTTGGTTGCAACGTTGTCAAAATGCTGTTCTCTCATATGTACAAACGCCAAACAAACTCCAAAAACAGCTTCATGCAGTACCTTCCATAGTAAAAAAAACCCTATTACGGCGACCTCTTTCAAGTGCTGTGTTTTCATATGTACAAACCCCAAACAAACTTTCGAAACGGCTTCATGCAGCAGATTCCATTGGGGAAAAAGGTTTAGGCGCGACATGCCTGACATGCTGTGTTTTCATATGTACAAACCCCAATCAAACTGCAGTTCTATTGGGGAAAACATTTCGATACTCTCCGCGCGGAAAAAAGAAATATTCTTCAATTTCTTTTAATTGCGCGCGTGGGCAGCCGGATGGCCCGGCCAATAGAACTGAGGTTTGAACGTGGTTTGCTTGCAGTTTGTACATATGCCAGGACAGAGGAAACACACTTCGCGTACTGTGCCACTAGTCTGCTTGCGAAAAGGTCTCTAGTGGAGTTGCTTGAAGTTTGTACATATGCCCAACCACAGGAAATTTGATCCGCCTACTTGCTTGGGCAGATACCGCGGGCGTTTGCTTGAGGTTTGTACATATGCCAGGACACGCAAAAATTAAAATTCTTCACTTCAACTGCTAGTTTGCAAATGCGGCAGACAAGAATCATTTTGCAGACACAACTGGCCACGGAGGTTTCACACCGTGCCGCCGCGCTGCTGGCGGAAGCACGATTCCAATAAGTTCTCTCCGCTACAGAGACTAGCAAGCGTCGCAAAGGCTCTAGGCTCTAGACACAGCTAGTCATTTCAAGCGTCCCTGCCACCTGCACACACGCCTACAAAAAAATCCTCTCAGCCTTGACGGCGCCGCAGCAACCATAGCAAGTCCTCATCTCCAAGATCTCCCGCTTTCTTGAGCAGGCGCCTTCGTTTCTGTTCCTGGCAAAATGAAAAACCGCAAAAAAGTGTTAATGTGTGTTTCCAAAGACATGAAGCCAGGGGCCCACGCCTGCGCTTTCAACGTCTTGGAGCAAACCTTGAGCTGGCGCTTGAGCAATGCCCTTTGCACCTTCAACGCGTTCAAATCCATCATGGGCACAGCTGCCCGACGACCGTGGATAGGGGCAGCGCCAGGCACAGCAGCAGCAGCAGCTGGAGCAGGACCAAAGCCACCATCAGCAACACCATGCGCATCGCCAGCTGCAACATCCACTGCACCTGCAGCATCTCCATCCGCAGCAACGCCTTCAGGCGAAGGCGCTGCAGCAGCACCACTGTCAACGGCATCCACGTCTGCTGCCTCATTGCCCGAAGCAGCTTCGTCCTCTTCACTCCTGGACACCTCTTCTTCTGCTTGCATGTCTCTGGCATCCGCTGGCGCAGAAGACGCCATGAAGATTTGCTAAACTAGAAACTGAAGACAGGCTTGAAAGGTACACGGTACACACAACTTAAGCCCACAATCATCCAATCGCACGAGTCTGAAACATGCATCTTGAAAATCAAAGGATTTGGTAGACAGGCTCATGTCCCCCTGCAGTTGCACGACACAGCAACTTAGCTGCACTTCTTCTGGAAGTACCGTCTCTGTCATGGGGCACTGAGCGCTTCTTTTTCCTGCTCAGCAGCGGCTAAGTCTAAGTCAGAAGAGGTGGATCTAGACGGGCAGGATGCCAAAACAATGAGACATATGGCACAAAGCGACCTCGCGGGAAGATAGCTTCAATATCTTCCCTGCTTGGAGGCATGAATGGTATTTGCGCCACTCGGGGCACACCTGCATGCTCCAGCTCCACAGTCAAAGCTCCTGCGGTCTGCACAACTCCGGTCTTCTCGAAAGCAGGCAACCACTTCCTAGCACACCAAAAGGTAGTCGCAGCTTTGCACAGGCACTGCAGCCATGACAGCGCGTCAAGAACCCCATGTTCATCTTCCTTCTCTGCAAAAAGTTTGGCCAAGCACGCCTTGTATGGAGCCAGCGCATACACATCCAGCGGCTGCACCAAAAATGTCAACTTCGCCGGTACAAACACCAACCATATGCCCAGCCGCTCTGCAGCAGCAGCCACCCGAGGATGGATGTGGCACATCGCCACATCAAGCAAGAGGACTGTTTGCATGTCAGGAAACTCCAGCATGGCATTGCGAATTTGCGCCAATATCCATTCCATTTTCTCCACGCTGTTCCAGCCAGACACCCCGCGCCAAAACTCCACTTGAGGTGGCTTCTGTAGAGCGGGATTCTTCAAAGCACTTACAGGCACTACATGGCGGTTGCACAAGAAGAATTGAGGCAGCTTTGGCTGTACTTGGGGGAGATTTGTCATCAATACCACGTGTGTGACAGCTGTGCGCTTCAATTGTTTGGAAATTCGGCGGCGTGGGGCCGTCTGCCCTGGCCACATTGCTCGAGAAGCGAGGAAGCCCACAGGCCTCCCCAAACACCGTGCCACGCTAGTCTCGTCCAAGTTGATATAACAAGGAATCTTCCCCAATGCTGCACACTCCTGTGCCAAGTAATCCACCCAATGCCAGAAGATACGAACCTGTTGTGGGGCAACCTCGCAAAAGAAAAGCGGCTCAAAATTCGACGCCAAAATTGGCTTCAAAATTGGTACCTATTTTTAGCTTCGGGGCTTTCAAACATAAGGCCAGCACACCCAAAAAAACCGAAGCCGAAACGTGCTTCTCACAACGCATGCCCCTGCACAACACCTTCTGAATGACCTCCTCCCTGGTTAGCAGCTCTCCTTCCTGTAGATGTCCCCGCCGCAAGCCCCATTTTCGCCGCATCTGCTGGCACCACTTCCTGGCCATGCGTCCCAATCTTGGGCACCTTCCGGCTCGCGGCGGGTCCATACCAAAGCGGGCTTGAAAGCCAAAGCGCTGAAATTGCGCAACAAATTGGTCCACCAGCATGCACCCAGTTGGGGCCCTGCCAACGGAAAAATTTTGCTTTGCCACCCATTGGGCAGTGTACCTTTCTGCCAAATACTTGCAAGCTGTGGCGCGCACACACCAATGCTGTTTGGTTTCAGGCACGAAAATAGCAATCAAGTCAGCAAGGTCAGCTCGTAGGAACAAATCCCGAATGGGACATGGTGCATCATCAAGGCTGGGCACCTGCAAGGCACGTCGCTTCCGAGCATTCTCAGCAAACTCTATTGCGCAGTCTTGGCTGTAGTTGCTCAGGCAATACACAGCCAGTGTCATGCGCACCATGTGTGCTGTCAAGCCCCACCGAAGCATATCTGCTCGCTCACGGCTCTCTCGCCTTTGTCGCTGTTTGATCTCTCGGCGAACAGCAGCCAACTCCTCACAAACATATGCATCATGACACTGAATCAAAATTTTCTGGGTAGCAGCATGCGTGGCAAAAAGAAGCTTAGAATTGGCACGTTGGCGCTCTGATTCCTACTTTGCAACCATACAATTACTTGATACGAAGCTGTCTAACGGTGCCACTGGGAATCTTCAACCCAGCAAATGGAACTCTGCACATTCTTCCAAGAAAGAAACTGGCTGATGACACACATGCCAAAAAAAATCCATCGTACAACAAATTTATTGAACACGCGCTGAAAATTGAAAGTCTTTAGATTCACACAAAAGCGGCGTGGCATCCACTGGAATCTCATGAACAATAATAATGTAGAAAAGTTGTTGGTCAGATGGAAATGCTGCAGGTGGCAACAACTTCGAAATAGTTTCTCTGCTGTTATGCTTGTTGACACTGAGAAGGTACACCCTCCAGTCTCCAAAAACACTACTGGTCTCGATGCCACTTCTGTCCTGCGTCAAAGCTTCGCAGTGCTCCACCATCTTGGAACTAGCTAATTTGGTGAAACATCACGCAGCTGCAGGACATGCCACGCAGATTCCGAACAGAGGAAAACAAGTGGTGCCCTGTCGAATCTTACCAACAAAGAAGACATCACAAAACAGGCCCTTCAATCTGCAAATCTGCCTGATCCCCAAAATGGACACTCCGAAAATTGTCCGACACCACCCTAAGCTTTCAAGCTCCTTCGACATGACACTAAGCAATGCTTCGATGCAGAAAGCGAAGCAGTGTAGGGGTATGTAAGGGCGCTTAAATTGCACAAAATCAAACGCTCACGCACATCAACGGCTGCTTTTGGGCATTTCCCCAGAATGTCACTCAACCAGGTTAGCGTCACAAAGTTGTTGTCGCTGCTTCTCCGCCTGCAGCAGATTTGCCACAGGATGCTGAAAGAACAAAAATCTCGACAAGAATTTAACAATCCAACTGTCAGCTGATAGAATGCTTCAAAGAACGCTGGCCTGTAGCCGGACCAGTCCATCACCTGCACACGCACGGGGGTCCCCCAAGCCCCCAATCTCAATGTTGCTTGCGCTGCGGCACTGGGGTAGCACAGCTGGTGTTCATGAAGAATCGGCTGCACAACATTGACATTGGGGGTTGCAGGGGGTTCTCACACAGAAGTTTCTCACCACCAAGGGGCTCCTACCCAGCAAGCTTCCGCGCGATCCACTTGTTTCTCTTTGAGTCGCAACGTCTATTGCATGCATGGTCCTCATCTTTGGGCGAACCAGCAGCAAGAAACGAAACAAGTTAAACATTGACCTTGCATGCAATAGCAATCACTATTGTACTCTACGTTGCACTGCTGCGAGAAGACGCCGTTGTTCAAAAAGCCCGAGAGAAGCAAATGGGCCGAGTTCTTTCCAATCCTGGACAGTGACCTCATCAACATGGCAGGCACCCTGGGCCAGCAAGGCTGCAGACAACTCTTGCAGATGGTCTGGACGAAGCTTGGCAATCTTATTCATGTCTGCCAAGCCAGGCAACAAAGTTCCGGCAAGCGTTGGTGGTGCAACTTGCAAAGGGCTCTGAAGCACGATAGCTGCATCATGCGCAGCAGCCCCGCTTGTCACCCATTTGCACAAACACACAGGGCAAGGATCAATGTCTCTCAAGTTGGGGACTTGGCTGTTGATGGGAAACACGGTCACCCGACTTTACATGTGCCTGATGTCCTCCTGCGAAACACAGCCAAGCGGTTGCCACAAACCTTCTGCTTTGGCGGTCAGGACGCAACCTTGCTGCCATTTGAAGTCTATATTGCCATCTGTGAAAGATTGTGAGACCTGCACTTCAAATGGCTGGCCCGTGAACAACGACAAGAAAGTTGAGACCTGGACCGTGCACTGGGCAAACTCTACTGGACGGTAATCATCCCAGAGGAGAAAGCGCTTGTGGCGCAAGATGTTCCGCAACGCAAACTTCGATCCAAGTGCTGGCTTGTGAAAGACTCGGTCGGGGCCAAAGACCTGGTCAAATGGCAAGACAAGAGTCGTCTTTCCTGTGTTGGTTGCGCCAGCTAGCAAAGGGGTTCGGGTTGTTTTCGAAGGTCCAGTCAAGATGATATCTCGCAAGCAAGTTGCCAGATGGTCTTTGCGGAGCGTATCAGAGTTTGCATCGAAGATCCGCGTGGCAGCAGCAGCGTAACCGCAATCCGCCCCAAAGGGGCACTGCTTCGCAGACAAAGCACATACCACCTCCCACCCAGACTGACGGTCTTTGGCAGCTTCAGCGGGGGCGGAGTTCCATTCCCAAGCGTCTTGAAGAAACTCTGACAGCTGCCGCTGCTTGTTACTGACAAACTGCTGCATGCTCTGGCAACCAAAGTTTTGCGCATATTCTAAAACTTCATGCTTTGACCGGAGCTGCTTAGCCAAAATGATCGCGGTGAGGTCTAACTTGGTGAAGCGTGCTCTCTTGCCTGCTGCACTCGCTTCCTTTTCTGCATCTTCACGGTGTCGCTTCCAAACTGCGGCCATCCAAGGCCTTTGAGACAACTCATACAGGTCCAGCGGGGCTCCGTCACTGGACCAAGCATATGGTGTTTCATCTACCTTCGGCTTCTGCAGCGTTGGGATGATGCAATACCTGAGAGCACTCCAGAACTGGGTGTGGCTGCACGAAAAATGGACTGCCAATCTATGCCGGGTGCGCAAAGTCTTCTTCACTGGCAAAAACTGCCGCTGCGTGTTCAATTTCAAGGCTACATGAAAATGCACTTCCCCACCTTCATGCTCCTCCTGCACAACAACTAGATATTTCACAATGCCAGTGGTTCCACTTGGTCGGCCACCTTTTCCAGCCCTCAAAGGATTGTCAAAAGCATCGCGAAATTTCACGGCGATGTCTTCACGCGACAGCAATGCAATCTCACACAAATCCTGGTTGGATTCTCGCGTCTGTTCCAAGACACGAGAAACTGTGGCTAAGTAGACCCATCCCCGGTGATCTGCCTTCTCCGGGCCCAACTCCTTCACAATCTTTGCTGCAGGGTTGTGACAAGTCTCAGGGTTTAGCAGCCTTTTCACAAGGTCGTTGACTTCATCCTTCCGAAAGTCTAAACTATTTGGTGGCAGACCACAGTGTTCGCACAATGCTTCACGAAACTCTTTCAGACTCATGCCACTAACATCCACGGTGGGCAGCAATGCCTTTGCGGCTGTCTCAACCTCCTCCATGGCGATGGCGGGCATGGCCGCTGGGTCAGCCATGGCAGTCACACTAACATTTTCTGGATCACCCTGCAACATAGTTTGATTGAAACAGCTTCTCCAAACACATGATTTTGGACACAGGCGCTTACGAATCACAAGACTTTCAATTCCCCTGGCTGCAAAAATCTGATTCACCTGAAGCTTATCCGCGGTCCGCGCCTCTGCTGAAGTAAAAAGTGGCAAGGCCAGACCTCACACAGGCAGTCGGTTAGGCGCTCACCCACGCACTTAAATCACAAAGGCTGCCTTCAGCTACTCGACAACAGCTTGCACCAACCGATCTGATTGTAAAGGTTAAGTGGTTTCACAGGCTGGTAAACACAAACAGCAAAAAAAAGACAGCACTGCACATGCAAATCTAAAACAATGGACATACTTCCTGCATTACAGAGAAACAATTCATCCATGACTTGCCGTCGGTCACACTCAAACACTGCAATGAAATCCGAGGCCATGAGTGCTGGGCAAGGTCCGGGTTGCAACCGTGTGTTGTTTACACATGTCCGTCATGGCACAGCACCTCAAATCCAAAACAACTGGCGCATGTTTCATGAGAGAATCAGATCGCAGGCGTGGCATCTGTGACAAGAAAATGTACTTCAACAAAACCAATAAATGTGAAGCGAATATGTCTCAACGTGAAAGTCACGAAGGCGCGCTCACAGCGCAATGAGGTGAAGGAATATGCGGCTGACTGCGAGTTAGGGGCCAGACGCGGGTATGCATGGTCCCTTTTAACAAACCGTCTCTGCCAATGCTTTGAAGGGCCGAAAGGTGACGCAGTCAGCTTGGAAATCTCCCTCGCATGAAACCCTGCTTCCTTGCCAAACAAAAAATTCTGCTGTGCATGTGGAAGTACCAGACAAAATCTCAACACCTACTGAAAGAGTGCAGCCACAGACCAATCAACTTCAAATAAAGCCTGCAGAATCTTGCAGACAAGTCATGCTCTACTCCGATGGGAAGAAAGCTGTTGGTTGCAACGTTGTCAAAATGCTGTTCTCTCATATGTACAAACCCCAAACAAACTCCAAAAACAGCTTCATGCAGTACCTTCCATAGTAAAAAAACCCTATTACGGCGACCTCTTTCAAGTGCTGTGTTTTCATATGTACAAACCCCAAACAAACTTTCGAAACGGCTTCATGCAGCAGATTCCATTGGGGAAAAAGGTTTAGGCGCGACATGCCTGACATGCTGTGTTTTCATATGTACAAACCCCAATCAAACTGCAGTTCTATTGGGGAAAACATTTCGATACTCTCCGCGCGGAAAAAAGAAATATTCTTCAATTTCTTTTAATTGCGCGCGTGGGCAGCCGGATGGCCCGGCCAATAGAACTGAGGTTTGAACGTGGTTTGCTTGCAGTTTGTACATATGCCAGGACAGAGGAAACACACTTCGCGTACTGTGCCACTAGTCTGCTTGCGAAAAGGTCTCTAGTGGAGTTGCTTGAAGTTTGTACATATGCCCAACCACAGGAAATTTGATCCGCCTACTTGCTTGGGCAGATACCGCGGGCGTTTGCTTGAGGTTTGTACATATGCCAGGACACGCAAAAATTAAAATTCTTCACTTCAACTGCTAGTTTGCAAATGCGGCAGACAAGAATCATTTTGCAGACACAACTGGCCACGGAGGTTTCACACCGTGCCGCCGCGCTGCTGGCGGAAGCACGATTCCAATAAGTTCTCTCCGCTACAGAAACTAGCAAGCGTCGCAAAGGCTCCAGGCTCTAGACACAGCTAGTCATTTCAAGCGTCCCTGCCACCTGCACACACGCCTACAAAAAAATCCTCTCAGCCTTGACGGCGCCGCAGCAACCATAGCAAGTCCTCATCTCCAAGATCTCCCGCTTTCTTGAGCAGGCGCCTTCGTTTCTGTTCCTGGCAAAATGAAAAACCGCAAAAAAGTGTTAATGTGTGTTTCCAAAGACATGAAGCCAGGGGCCCACGCCTGCGCTTTCAACGTCTTGGAGCAAACCTTGAGCTGGCGCTTGAGCAATGCCCTTTGCACCTTCAACGCGTTCAAATCCATCATGGGCACAGCTGCCCGACGACCGTGGATAGGGGCAGCGCCAGGCACAGCAGCAGCAGCAGCAGCTGGAGCAGGACCAAAGCCACCATCAGCAACACCATGCGCATCGCCAGCTGCAACATCCACTGCACCTGCAGCATCTCCATCCGCAGCAACGCCTTCAGGCGAAGGCGCCGCAGCAGCACCACTGTCAACGGCATCCACGTCTGCTGCCTCATTGCCCGAAGCAGCTTCGTCCTCTTCACTCCTGGACACCTCTTCTTCTGCTTGCATGTCTCTGGCATCCGCTGGCGCAGAAGACGCCATGAAGATTTGCTAAACTAGAAACTGAAGACAGGCTTGAAAGGTACACGGTACACACAACTTAAGCCCACAATCATCCAATCGCACGAGTCTGAAACATGCATCTTGAAAATCAAAGGATTTGGTAGACAGGCTCATGTCCCCCTGCAGTTGCACGACACAGCAACTTAGCTGCACTTCTTCTGGAAGTACCGTCTCTGTCATGGGGCACTGAGCGCTTCTTTTTCCTGCTCAGCAGCGGCTAAGTCTAAGTCAGAAGAGGTGGATCTAGACGGGCAGGATGCCAAAACAATGAGACATATGGCACAAAGCGACCTCGCGGGAAGATAGCTTCAATATCTTCCCTGCTTGGAGGCATGAATGGTATTTGCGCCACTCGGGGCACACCTGCATGCTCCAGCTCCACAGTCAAAGCTCCTGCGGTCTGCACAACTCCGGTCTTCTCGAAAGCAGGCAACCACTTCCTAGCACACCAAAAGGTAGTCGCAGCTTTGCACAGGCACTGCAGCCATGACAGCGCGTCAAGAACCCCATGTTCATCTTCCTTCTCTGCAAAAAGTTTGGCCAAGCACGCCTTGTATGGAGCCAGCGCATACACATCCAGCGGCTGCACCAAAAATGTCAACTTCGCCGGTACAAACACCAACCATATGCCCAGCCGCTCTGCAGCAGCAGCCACCCGAGGATGGATGTGGCACATCGCCACATCAAGCAAGAGGACTGTTTGCATGTCAGGAAACTCCAGCATGGCATTGCGAATTTGCGCCAATATCCATTCCATTTTCTCCACGCTGTTCCAGCCAGACACCCCGCGCCAAAACTCCACTTGAGGTGGCTTCTGTAGAGCGGGATTCTTCAAAGCACTTACAGGCACTACATGGCGGTTGCACAAGAAGAATTGAGGCAGCTTTGGCTGTACTTGGGGGAGATTTGTCATCAATACCACGTGTGTGACAGCTGTGCGCTTCAATTGTTTGGAAATTCGGCGGCGTGGGGCCGTCTGCCCTGGCCACATTGCTCGAGAAGCGAGGAAGCCCACAGGCCTCCCCAAACACCGTGCCACGCTAGTCTCGTCCAAGTTGATATAACAAGGAATCTTCCCCAATGCTGCACACTCCTGTGCCAAGTAATCCACCCAATGCCAGAAGATACGAACCTGTTGTGGGGCAACCTCGCAAAAGAAAAGCGGCTCAAAATTCGACGCCAAAATTGGCTTCAAAATTGGTACCTATTTTTAGCTTCGGGGCTTTCAAACATAAGGCCAGCACACCCAAAAAAACCGAAGCCGAAACGTGCTTCTCACAACGCATGCCCCTGCACAACACCTTCTGAATGACCTCCTCCCTGGTTAGCAGCTCTCCTTCCTGTAGATGTCCCCGCCGCAAGCCCCATTTTCGCCGCATCTGCTGGCACCACTTCCTGGCCATGCGTCCCAATCTTGGGCACCTTCCGGCTCGCGGCGGGTCCATACCAAAGCGGGCTTGAAAGCCAAAGCGCTGAAATTGCGCAACAAATTGGTCCACCAGCATGCACCCAGTTGGGGCCCTGCCAACGGAAAAATTTTGCTTTGCCACCCATTGGGCAGTGTACCTTTCTGCCAAATACTTGCAAGCTGTGGCGCGCACACACCAATGCTGTTTGGTTTCAGGCACGAAAATAGCAATCAAGTCAGCAAGGTCAGCTCGTAGGAACAAATCCCGAATGGGACATGGTGCATCATCAAGGCTGGGCACCTGCAAGGCACGTCGCTTCCGAGCATTCTCAGCAAACTCTATTGCGCAGTCTTGGCTGTAGTTGCTCAGGCAATACACAGCCAGTGTCATGCGCACCATGTGTGCTGTCAAGCCCCACCGAAGCATATCTGCTCGCTCACGGCTCTCTCGCCTTTGTCGCTGTTTGATCTCTCGGCGAACAGCAGCCAACTCCTCACAAACATATGCATCATGACACTGAATCAAAATTTTCTGGGTAGCAGCATGGGTGGCAAAAAGAAGCTTAGAATTGGCACGTTGGCGCTCTGATTCCTACTTTGCAACCATACAATTACTTGATACGAAGCTGTCTAACGGTGCCACTGGGAATCTTCAACCCAGCAAATGGAACTCTGCACATTCTTCCAAGAAAGAAACTGGCTGATGACACACATGCCAAAAAAAATCATCGTACAACAAATTTATTGAACACGCGCTGAAAATTGAAAGTCTTTAGATTCACACAAAAGCGGCGTGGCATCCACTGGAATCTCATGAACAATAATAATGTAGAAAAGTTGTTGGTCAGATGGAAATGCTGCAGGTGGCAACAACTTCGAAATAGTTTCTCTGCTGTTATGCTTGTTGACACTGAGAAGGTACACCCTCCAGTCTCCAAAAACACTACTGGTCTCGATGCCACTTCTGTCCTGCGTCAAAGCTTCGCAGTGCTCCGCCATCTTGGAACTAGCTAATTTGGTGAAACATCACGCAGCTGCAGGACATGCCACGCAGATTCCGAACAGAGGAAAACAAGTGGTGCCCTGTCGAATCTTACCAACAAAGAAGACATCACAAAACAGGCCCTTCAATCTGCAAATCTGCCTGATCCCCAAAATGGACACTCCGAAAATTGTCCGACACCACCCTAAGCTTTCAAGCTCCTTCGACATGACACTAAGCAATGCTTCGATGCAGAAAGCGAAGCAGTGTAGGGGTATGTAAGGGCGCTTAAATTGCACAAAATCAAACGCTCACGCACATCAACGGCTGCTTTTGGGCATTTCCCCAGAATGTCACTCAACCAGGTTAGCGTCACAAAGTTGTTGTCGCTGCTTCTCCGCCTGCAGCAGATTTGCCACAGGATGCTGAAAGAACAAAAATCTCGACAAGAATTTAACAATCCAACTGTCAGCTGATAGAATGCTTCAAAGAACGCTGGCCTGTAGCCGGACCAGTCCATCACCTGCACACGCACGGGGGTCCCCCAAGCCCCCAATCTCAATGTTGCTTGCGCTGCGGCACTGGGGTAGCACAGCTGGTGTTCATGAAGAATCGGCTGCACAACATTGACATTGGGGGTTGCAGGGGGTTCTCACACAGAAGTTTCTCACCACCAAGGGGCTCCTACCCAGCAAGCTTCCGCGCGATCCACTTGTTTCTCTTTGAGTCGCAACGTCTATTGCATGCATGGTCCTCATCTTTGGGCGAACCAGCAGCAAGAAACGAAACAAGTTAAACATTGACCTTGCATGCAATAGCAATCACTATTGTACTCTACGTTGCACTGCTGCGAGAAGACGCCGTTGTTCAAAAAGCCCGAGAGAAGCAAATGGGCCGAGTTCTTTCCAATCCTGGACAGTGACCTCATCAACATGGCAGGCACCCTGGGCCAGCAAGGCTGCAGACAACTCTTGCAGATGGTCTGGACGAAGCTTGGCAATCTTATTCATGTCTGCCAAGCCAGGCAACAAAGTTCCGGCAAGCGTTGGTGGTGCAACTTGCAAAGGGCTCTGAAGCACGATAGCTGCATCATGCGCAGCAGCCCCGCTTGTCACCCATTTGCACAAACACACAGGGCAAGGATCAATGTCTCTCAAGTTGGGGACTTGGCTGTTGATGGGAAACACGGTCACCCGACTTTGCATGTGCCTGATGTCCTCCTGCGAAACACAGCCAAGCGGTTGCCACAAACCTTCTGCTTTGGCGGTCAGGACGCAACCTTGCTGCCATTTGAAGTCTATATTGCCATCTGTGAAAGATTGTGAGACCTGCACTTCAAATGGCTGGCCCGTGAACAACGACAAGAAAGTTGAGACCTGGACCGTGCACTGGGCAAACTCTACTGGACGGTAATCATCCCAGAGGAGAAAGCGCTTGTGGCGCAAGATGTTCCGCAACGCAAACTTCGATCCAAGTGCTGGCTTGTGAAAGACTCGGTCGGGGCCAAAGACCTGGTCAAATGGCAAGACAAGAGTCGTCTTTCCTGTGTTGGTTGCGCCAGCTAGCAAAGGGGTTCGGGTTGTTTTCGAAGGTCCAGTCAAGATGATATCTCGCAAGCAAGTTGCCAGATGGTCTTTGCGGAGCGTATCAGAGTTTGCATCGAAGATCCGCGTGGCAGCAGCAGCGTAACCGCAATCCGCCCCAAAGGGGCACTGCTTCGCAGACAAAGCACATACCACCTCCCACCCAGACTGACGGTCTTTGGCAGCTTCAGCGGGGGCGGAGTTCCATTCCCAAGCGTCTTGAAGAAACTCTGACAGCTGCCGCTGCTTGTTACTGACAAACTGCTGCATGCTCTGGCAACCAAAGTTTTGCGCATATTCTAAAACTTCATGCTTTGACCGGAGCTGCTTAGCCAAAATGATCGCGGTGAGGTCTAACTTGGTGAAGCGTGCTCTCTTGCCTGCTGCACTCGCTTCCTTTTCTGCATCTTCACGGTGTCGCTTCCAAACTGCGGCCATCCAAGGCCTTTGAGACAACTCATACAGGTCCAGCGGGGCTCCGTCACTGGACCAAGCATATGGTGTTTCATCTACCTTCGGCTTCTGCAGCGTTGGGATGATGCAATACCTGAGAGCACTCCAGAACTGGGTGTGGCTGCACGAAAAATGGACTGCCAATCTATGCCGGGTGCGCAAAGTCTTCTTCACTGGCAAAAACTGCCGCTGCGTGTTCAATTTCAAGGCTACATGAAAATGCACTTCCCCACCTTCATGCTCCTCCTGCACAACAACTAGATATTTCACAATGCCAGTGGTTCCACTTGGTCGGCCACCTTTTCCAGCCCTCAAAGGATTGTCAAAAGCATCGCGAAATTTCACGGCGATGTCTTCACGCGACAGCAATGCAATCTCACACAAATCCTGGTTGGATTCTCGCGTCTGTTCCAAGACACGAGAAACTGTGGCTAAGTAGACCCATCCCCGGTGATCTGCCTTCTCCGGGCCCAACTCCTTCACAATCTTTGCTGCAGGGTTGTGACAAGTCTCAGGGTTTAGCAGCCTTTTCACAAGGTCGTTGACTTCATCCTTCCGAAAGTCTAAACTATTTGGTGGCAGACCACAGTGTTCGCACAATGCTTCACGAAACTCTTTCAGACTCATGCCACTAACATCCACGGTGGGCAGCAATGCCTTTGCGGCTGTCTCAACCTCCTCCATGGCGATGGCGGGCATGGCCGCTGGGTCAGCCATGGCAGTCACACTAACATTTTCTGGATCACCCTGCAACATAGTTTGATTGAAACAGCTTCTCCAAACACATGATTTTGGACACAGGCGCTTACGAATCACAAGACTTTCAATTCCCCTGGCTGCAAAAATCTGATTCACCTGAAGCTTATCCGCGGTCCGCGCCTCTGCTGAAGTAAAAAGTGGCAAGGCCAGACCTCACACAGGCAGTCGGTTAGGCGCTCACCCACGCACTTAAATCACAAAGGCTGCCTTCAGCTACTCGACAACAGCTTGCACCAACCGATCTGATTGTAAAGGTTAAGTGGTTTCACAGGCTGGTAAACACAAACAGCAAAAAAAAGACAGCACTGCACATGCAAATCTAAAACAATGGACATACTTCCTGCATTACAGAGAAACAATTCATCCATGACTTGCCGTCGGTCACACTCAAACACTGCAATGAAATCCGAGGCCATGAGTGCTGGGCAAGGTCCGGGTTGCAACCGTGTGTTGTTTACACATGTCCGTCATGGCACAGCACCTCAAATCCAAAACAACTGGCGCATGTTTCATGAGAGAATCAGATCGCAGGCGTGGCATCTGTGACAAGAAAATGTACTTCAACAAAACCAATAAATGTGAAGCGAATATGTCTCAACGTGAAAGTCACGAAGGCGCGCTCACAGCGCAATGAGGTGAAGGAATATGCGGCTGACTGCGAGTTAGGGGCCAGACGCGGGTATGCATGGTCCCTTTTAACAAACCGTCTCTGCCAATGCTTTGAAGGGCCGAAAGGTGACGCAGTCAGCTTGGAAATCTCCCTCGCATGAAACCCTGCTTCCTTGCCAAACAAAAAATTCTGCTGTGCATGTGGAAGTACCAGACAAAATCTCAACACCTACTGAAAGAGTGCAGCCACAGACCAATCAACTTCAAATAAAGCCTGCAGAATCTTGCAGACAAGTCATGCTCTACTCCGATGGGAAGAAAGCTGTTGGTTGCAACGTTGTCAAAATGCTGTTCTCTCATATGTACAAACCCCAAACAAACTCCAAAAACAGCTTCATGCAGTACCTTCCATAGTAAAAAAAAAACCCTATTACGGCGACCTCTTTCAAGTGCTGTGTTTTCATATGTACAAACCCCAAACAAACTTTCGAAACGGCTTCATGCAGCAGATTCCATTGGGGAAAAAGGTTTAGGCGCGACATGCCTGACATGCTGTGTTTTCATATGTACAAACCCCAATCAAACTGCAGTTCTATTGGGGAAAACATTTCGATACTCTCCGCGCGGAAAAAAGAAATATTCTTCAATTTCTTTTAATTGCGCGCGTGGGCAGCCGGATGGCCCGGCCAATAGAACTGAGGTTTGAACGTGGTTTGCTTGCAGTTTGTACATATGCCAGGACAGAGGAAACACACTTCGCGTACTGTGCCACTAGTCTGCTTGCGAAAAGGTCTCTAGTGGAGTTGCTTGAAGTTTGTACATATGCCCAACCACAGGAAATTTGATCCGCCTACTTGCTTGGGCAGATACCGCGGGCGTTTGCTTGAGGTTTGTACATATGCCAGGACACGCAAAAATTAAAATTCTTCACTTCAACTGCTAGTTTGCAAATGCGGCAGACAAGAATCATTTTGCAGACACAACTGGCCACGGAGGTTTCACACCGTGCCGCCG